TGCCAAAGATGCAGCCAAATTCACTGACACTGTTTCTGTGGACTCTTTTCCTTGGTGAATTTTAGGACTAAAACTCAATAAATCAGTGGGTGATGAGAAGCAGTAACATGCAATGGAAGGAATAGGAAAGACTATGGACAGTGATCTTTTTTCCTTGTTGAAAATGCCATCATTATTCATTCTGGGGGTTTTTTCCAGGAAAAAAAATTTTTTTGTTTACATTTATAATCGTACATTTCAGAGGAGTCCTGGTGGCATAGTAGGCTAAGCATTGGGCTGCTAACTGAAAAGTCGACTGTTTGAACCCAGCAACTGCTCTGCAGAAGAAAGTTGAGGCAGTCTGCTTCTGTAAAGATTTGGAGCCTTAGAAACCATTTTTTTTAAATTGTATTATTCTAAAGTGCCATCAAGTTGACTCCCCGACTCATAGCGACCCAGTATAGGGTTTCCGAGGAGCAGCTGGTGGGTTTGAACTACCAACCTTGTGGTTCAGCACCAGTCCAGTGCTGATCCTACAGCGCCACACCAGAACTCCATAAAACAGAGTAAAACTGTCCAACAGAGTTTCTAAGGCTTTAAATCTTTCTTTAGCAGATTGCCATGTCTTTTTCCCATGGAGCAGCTGGTGGGTTTGAACCACTTACCTTTTGGTTAGCGTCCAAGTGCTTTTACCTGTACCACTAGGGCTCCTTAGTTTACTTATGGAGCGGGTGTTAAGTAAACGCAAACCTCAGCCTCTTCTGTACTTTTCAAGACTAGAGGGAAATGTTGTTGTCCCCCCTGCTCTCCAGACTAGGAGGATTTAGGCCACTCCACTGCTTCCAAACATCCAGTTGCTGATTATATAAAGATTCTAGCAGTTACTTAGCTAGGACACTTTCAGCATCATGACCTTTATGCTAATTTGGGAGATAAATTATTTTGGAGGCAATTTCATGAGGAATTTTGTTTCCACATTACCAATGTGCCTTGGGCTGCCAAAAGAACCAATAGATCTGTTTTGGAAGAAGTGCAGCCAGAGTGCTCCTTAGAGGCCAAGATGGCTAAACTTCTCTCATACTTTGGATATATTGTCAGGAGGGAACAGTCGCTGGAGAAGGATATCATGCTTGGTAAGATGGAGGTTCAGAGAAAAAGAGGAAGACCCCTAACGAGATGGATTGGCCAGGTGGCATCATTGATGGACTCAAGTGTGGCAGCGGTAGTGAGGTTGGCCCAGGATCGGACATTGTTTTGTTCTGCTGTGCATGGGATCGCTATGAGTCGGTTCCAACTCGATGGCACCTGAGAACAACACAACAACAATGTGCCTTAATGTGCTACGTCTTCTAGTTTTTTGGTCATGTGTGAACATTTTATTGTGCTTTAGGTGAAAGTTTACAAAGCAAATTAGTTTCCAATCAATAACTCATGCACAAATTATTTCGTGACTTTGGTTGCAATCCTTGCAGTGCGTCAGTATTGTCCCTTTTTCCACTCTGTGTTCTCTGTTTTCATTCCTCAGGTTTCCCTGTTTCTTACTGCCTTTGCATCTTTAGTTTAAGACAAATATTCCACTTTTGGGCTAACATAATTGATTGTTCTAAGGGCCACATTCTTCCTGGTGTCACTGTTTATTTTGTAGAGCTCTGGTAGCGTAGTGGTTACGAATTGGGCTGTGAACCCTAAGGTTAGCAGTTCGAAACTACCAGCTGTTGCACGGGAGAAAGGTGAGACTTTCTGTTCCTGTAAAGATTTACAGCCTCAGAAACCCTGTGCAGGGTCACTATGAGTCAAAAATGACTCCACGGCACATAACAACAACAACAACAACAACAACATCCATTAATTAGCTGAAAGGTGGCCTCCAGGAGTATCTTCAGTTTCAACTAGAAGGCTGTCTTGGAGGTTCCCAAGGACGATAGTCCTGAAGGTTCCTTGTCTCTTTCTGGTCAGTAAATCTGGTCTTTTAAAATTTTTTTTACATTTTTGTCCATTCTAAATGGGACCTTCTATTGTGGTCCTGGTCCGAGTGGTTCGTGATAGTAGTAACTGGGCACCATCTAGTTGTTCTGTTTCCCAGTTTTTAAAGAAGTACAAAACTAGCATATTAATTATAGAGTTATAGGAGTGGTAGAAATGAGATGGGAAGCTTTTGTTCTCTACCCTCTCTTTCCCTTGCCCCCTCCCTTTTGGAACATTTCAGATCTTTCTCAACACTGAGTAGTATATTGCAAGCTCTGTCTTCTATTATTTCTTATTCTGGTCAGTGCTAGAGGGGATGCTAGAATTTATACAGTAGAGTAACATATTAGATAATCTGGGAAGATGTGTGTAGAGCAAGTGGAGTTATATTTAAAAAATAATAAAAGGGAACTCATACCCTTTCAAGAAAAAACTTGATGCCCATCTGTTAGGATGTAGCTAAAGTTGTTAGCCTCCTCAGTAAATGCCTCAACTTTGGCACCCTAGATCATGTTCCTTTTGGGGCAGCCCCCAGCCAGTGACTGAGCAAAACAGTGATATAAGACCCTTGCTCTTTCCCCCGTACAGCACTCCCTCTAACTGGCCATCAGTGCTCCATAGCTTTCTGTTGGACAGATATTGTAAGGCCTGTCATGATGTGTCCTCCAATCCTATGTCCTTGTTTTTCCTTATAGGAGTTAACTACTCCCTTAAACCATTTCATTCCTAATTCTGTTCTAGCATCTGCTTGCTGGAAAAGCCAAGCTGTGCAGCACAATTCTTACATGAATCACTCTATTTATTTTGTCGTTTTCATCTCAGGCTTTGTTTGTGATGTCGTGGGAATGATGTTAATGTGTTTTAAAATGTTAGACTGCCCTTTCTAGAAAAAAATTCGGAAATATAGATATGCACAAAGAAGAAATAAAAAGTCACCTATAATATCTTCACTGGAGATAACTGCTGACCATGATATATTTTGGTCACTTTAGAGAAATGCTCAGTGAATATTTCACTAACTGAAAACACTCTTGTCATTGGTAACCAATCAAGAAACAGAGCTCTATCAGCACCCCAGCAGTTACCCAGGGTAGCCACTCTCATGACTTGCAACAGCATAAATTAATTTTACCTGGTTTGGAGCTTGATATAAGCATAGCCATGTAGTCTGCATTCTTCTGTCTTCTCTTACTCAACATTACATTTTGAGAGGTTTATTCGTGTGTGTATTGTTGTGGTTTCTTGCTGTATAGTATTTTATTGTATGTGAATATTACCACAACTTCTTTGTCCTCTTGTTGGGCATTTGAATTGTTTCCCCCCTTTTACTATATGAATAATATGCAGTGAATTTTTTTGTTTGTGAACTTGTGTGTACATGGGAAGGCAAGTCAGGAAGTATTGCTACTAGGGTTCCAATTCATACATTGTTGTTGTTGTTATATGCCGTGGAGTCGGTTCTGACTCATAGCGACCCTGCACAGGGTTTCTGAGGCTGTTAATCTTTACGGGAGCAGAATACCTCATCTTTCCCCCGCGGAACAGCTGGTAGTTTCGAACTGCTGACCTTGCGGTTCGCAGCCCGATTCGTAACCACTACGCTACCAGAGCTCCTTACATACATGGGTTTATTCCAAACAAAACTGTCTAAACACGTACCTGCCGTCAGTGGGTGGCTACAGACAAGGCTCAGTAATATGCTCATTCTATGGACTGCAAGGTTGGTTTGAACCTCAAGGTCGGTGGTTCAAACTCACTAGCTGGTCCTCAGAAACCCTTTACAGGGCTGCTGTGAGTCGGAAATGACTCGACGGCACTGAACAACAACAACAACAACAACAACAATCTTGTTTAGGTGCCTTCACAAAAAAGTCCAATCAAAACAGTGGCTTCCTGGGTTAGGGGGGAGGTATCTACTGGGACAGTTAAATTCAAGTCAGAAGGTCATAATGACTGTTTTTTAGAATCCCAAACAGGTGATCTTGGTAGATTTTTCTCAAAAGACACAGGACAATCATGGTGAAAGAAGTTAGAACTGAAAACTGCATTGGTAAGAAAAACCCCAGGAAATTTGCACCGAGGAAATTTTTGTTTTCTTCCGCTATCATGCCAATGCAGCTGTTCATTCTTTGAGGGTAGTGCTTTCCTATGAGAATTTCATTGGAGAACTGTACCCCATTCACCCTACAGCCCTTATCTTGCCCCTTCAGGCTTCTTTTTGTTCCCCAAACTTAAAGAACATTTTAAAGGAACAGAATTTGCATCCTTTGAGGGTGCCCCAAACTGCCGTTTTGACGTGGTGTAAATGGAAGCGTACAGAATTCTTTGGGGAAGGGTTAGAGTGGTGGAAACACTACTTTCAGAAGTATATGGAGGATATGTTGAGAAGTAGTAGGTTCTTCTACAATTTAGTAACACTCTTGTTTTACTTACCTTTGTACATATGTATTGCTGATGGATTGACTGGATCTGTTAAGTTATGTTGGTCAGAGGTGGTGGTAGTGGTAAATATTGCCTTGTATTTAGTATTTAAGCCAGTGACGCCTATTCTTGGTACATGTACATTTGTTTTCCTCTTAAGTTTAACAAAGCCAGAAAAACTTACTTTCCAACCTATACCCTCTGAATATGGGTTCTTAGCACTTTTTGCAGTACTCATAGTTAGTCTTTCCTTCTAAGTTTGAGGTCATGGGTCATTTTATTGGGCAAGGGAGACTAGTTGCTATTTCCCTTGTTGTTTGCCAGTCATATCCTTGAGTTAGAAGAGTTGCTGAAGAACAAGTTGCTAGGCTTTATAGTTATACAAGAATTCATTTGCCACCCTAGTTTGCAGTGTAGAGAAAAATACAATCAGAAGCCTTTAGGAATTTGTTAGATACCTGGGATAGGCTTGGTATGTGAGCTGTACCTGGCAAATTAAGGCATCTAGTGTGGGAAAGTGCTGAAGAGCAGATTTCATATTGAGCTTAGAGAAGTCCTGAGCAGCTTCACATGTGACTGAGTTTCTTCAGAGCTTCTTGCACTCTTTGATGATGTTTGTTTCTTTCCTACTATAGCTGTTGAGTGGAATGTCATGGCTAGCTCCTCGGACAGTGAAGATGACAGTTTCATGGCTGTGGACCAAGAAGAAAGTGTGCTGGAAGGGACAATGGAGCAAGATGAAGAGCCCCAGCCAGCATTGGGAGTTGAGGAGACTAGGCATAACAGGTCCATGTTGGAACTGCCTGAAGAAGTTCTGGAGTATATCCTGTCCTTTCTCTCACCGTACCAGGAACATAAAACTGCAGCCCTTGTCTGCAAACAGTGGTATCGACTTATCAAAGGTACTGTGGAAAGTAGAAAGAGGGAGTTATTTATTTTAAATTATTTGGGGTGAGGATTTCTGTGTTCAACTCCCAATTTCATGTTGTCTTTTCTTCCTTAAATGTATTGTCATTATAAAACATAGGGTTAGACATTTAAACACTGAGCATTTTCCTTTTCTCCTTGTTCTAGTTAACTTTATTTAACAACTTAAATACTATTTACTGTTTAGTGTCCTTTACAGTTTTAGAGGGAAGATTCTTGCTCTGTGTAATCTTAGAGTTGATTTAGTAAATTGTATTGTTTTAGAGTAGGTAAGGAGTCTTGATGTGGCACTTTAGGATAAGCACTGGACTACAAGGTCTGATTGAACTTCAAGGTTGGTGGTTCAAACTCCCCAGCCCCACTTCTCAGAAACCCTGTACAGTGTCACTAGGAGTCAGAACCGACTCCACAGCACTTAATTAACAACAACAGCAGTAGGTACAGTTGGATCAGCACTGGACTGCAAACCACTAGGACAACAGTTCAAACCCACCAGTTGCTCCCTGGAAACCCTATACAGGGTCACTGTGAATTGGAACTGACCCGACAGCACCAACAACACTAATTAGCTAATATTGACATTAACTTTTATCAGATGCCAGGCTCTGGACTCTTGGTGTGGCACTGTAGGATCAGAACCACAAGTTCAGAACCACCAGCTTGCTCCTTAGAAACTCTATACAGGGTCGCTCTGAGTCGAAACTGACTCAATGACACTTACCAACAACAGGCACGTTTGTAAGTGTTTCAGAATCCTCACAGCAAACGGTGAGAAGAAAATACTGTGTTACTATCAGCATTTTACAAGTGAAGAAATGAGGCACAGTTAAGTAATTTATCCAAGATCACACGATTAATAGATTGAGATTCACATCCAGGCCACCTGGCTTTAGAATCCATGTACTTAACCACATCCTGTCTCTCAAAGTAGCTAATTTTAGTAAATGAGGACTTGTGAAAGGCATAGATACTTGATTTTATCGCCAAATACGTCTCCAAGGCCCTTTTATGAATACTCCAAGGTATGTTTTATACTTTTTAAAATGTCCTTTTTATTCTCTGTTTTCTAATTAAGAGTTCCAGTTTTAGCTAAATATTCAGGTTGCTAGCTAGATCATAATATTTTTAATTGACAACAGGTTTTTTGGCTTCAGAGGTAGGCAGAGAAAGAAAAACTTTTAGATCAGAGTCAATCAATCTTAAAATCTTTCCCTTGCATCAGGGTGGTTCTCATTAAGACCTAGGTCCTTGTCAACTTCCCAAATTAAACCTGGAGGCCTAAAGACCAGCTGTGTCAAAATTGTTTTGTGGACCCTGTGCTTGTCTACTTACAGTCTGCTTTGGTTTGCTGGGTTAATGTAGGATAAAAAGTCTCCCTCCAATGTTGAAATATAGCTTTACTCCTAAAATAAAGATGAAACAATCACAGATAAGGGGTGGGATCTAATCCAATATGTGAACTTTTCCTTAGGTTTTATTTTATTTTATTTTTTTTAAGAGTGAGGAACTTTAACCTCTAGTACTCAGTTTTAGGGAGCACAATAGCTCTAGAGGATAAGCACTGGGCTGCGAGCTACATGATCTACAGTTCAAGTCCACAAGCCTCTCCTCGAGAAAAAGGTGAGGCTTTCTGCTCCTGCAACA